CTACCCCCCTACATCCCCAAGCAACTGCAGAATAGCCCTCCCTGGTGATGACCCCTTCTTTCCATTGGGTGTAAGCCTCCTTTTTAGCAAGGAGATATTCCCGGATGCTTTTGGTGAGCCATGGAGGCTTGTATGCTCTCCTGCTCCCTTTGATCCTCGTTGGGATTACCTTCCTTTGGGCTTGGAGGATTGTCTCCTTAAGAAGCGACCTCTCTCCTTGGACACCTGGCTCCCCTCCCCTCCAGGACCTCAGCACCTCTCCAACTATCCTCCTTAGCTCACTGAAGTTTGCCCTCCTAAAATCTAGGGCCGCTGCCTTACTGCATGCCTTTGCCACCTTGCGCTGGATGGTGAATTCCAGCAGGCGATGATTGCTGTTGCCCAGGTGGTCGAGCACCCGCAGGATGTTGATAGACTTGAGAGGGTCTAGAGGAGGGCCACTCGTATGGTTAGGGGCTTACAGGACAAGCCCTATGGGGGGAGACTGAGGGACCTGGACCTCTTCAGCCTCCGCAAGAGAAGGCCGAGAGGTGATCTTGTGGCCACCTACAGATTCATTAGGGGAACACAGCAAGGGATTGGAGGTGCTCTGTTCACCAGGGCGCCTCCTGGGGTAACAAGGAACAATGGTCACAAACTGAAAGCATGCCAATTTAGGCTAGATATCAGGAAAAAATTCTTCACAGTAAGGGCGGCCATTTGGAATGGGCTTCCAAGGGAGGTGGTGCTCTCCCCTACGTTGGGGTCTTTCAGAGAAGGCTGGATAGGCATCTGGCTGGGATCATCTGACCCCAGCACTCTTTCCTGCCTAGGCAGGGGGTCAGACTCGATGATCTGTTGAGGTCCCTTCCAACCCTAGCAACTGTGAATCTATGAAAAAAAGGTCACCTAGTTCAGCCCCCTGCTCAAGGCAGGATTGTCCCCGACTAACCATCCCAGCCAAATGTCTGCCTAACCTGGTCTTGAAAATTTCCAAGGATGGAGATTCCAGTTTCCCTATGTAGCCCGTTCCAATGCTTGACCAGCTTCATGGTCAGCAAATTCTTGCCTGATCTCCAACCTAAATGTCCCCTGCTGCAGCCTGAAGCCTTGTTCCTAATCCTGTCCCCTACAGCCACAAAGACAAGTCTCTCTCCACCCTTCAGGTATTTGAAGGCTGCTATCAAATTCCCCCTCAGTCTTTTCTTCTCCAGACTAAGTAGTCCTAGTTCTTTCAGCCTTTTCTCATAAGCTGCATTTCCCAGGCCTCTAATCATGTTTGTTTTGTGACTGTTTGCACAAGAGTGGGAAGTTGAGGATTCAGTAACTCAGGGTTTCAGTAGGAAACCCTAGCTAAGTAGCACAAGTCAAACTGGAGGCTGTTGCTCAGCAATGCAGTCCCCCGAGAGAAGTGACAGGACCTAACAGAGGCTCTGCAAACCATCTACAGCAGAAGAGAAGAGCTTGTATGAGCCTTTCAAGGATCTTTTACTCAGAGCAAGATTTTTGTCCTTGTAAACAAAACTTTTGCAGCCAGGAACGTAATGTCAATGAGTATTTAATAAGGAACCACAACCAGGGTTGTGAGGGGCTGTGGAATAAGGTTATTTCACGACTGTAGTGCTGCCATGGAGTTTAGGACACGCCACTGTGCAACTTGGTTCCCCCGGGATGGGCTTGGGACCTTGCCTAAACAATGAAAAATCCTCCAGAGAGTAAGACACGTGGACTGCAAAGGTACAACAGACATAGAATTCTTTTTAATATTATTATAAAACACTTGTGTACATAGTGCAGTCAATCCCGTAATGCTTCCCACATCCAGATGAGATCTGTTCCCTGCCCCAGAGGGTTCACAATCTGGATGAGACAAGACAGACTAAAGCCTGGCAAGACATGGAAGGAGGGAGGGAGGTGGGTGTGCAGGTTGCTAATGCAGAGGGACCTGAAGGGGGTGAGGGAAGAGAACAAAGATGCTTGTGAGATGAAGACACACACAGCTAAATGGATAAGAAGGGATAACAAGGAAGAGAGAGACGAGTGAGAACAAGAAGGAGAAATAAAAGCAGAAACAGCAGGGGCAAGATTAGATCAGGCCTCATTCCCAAGAAGGAGGATTTGGCTGTGATGTCACAGGAGAGAAGCCAGGGGGTGAGGGGGTGACAGTGAGGGAATGGGGTGTGGGGAGGCCATTAGCAGGAGGGAGTGGGTGGATGGAAAGTGAGAGAGCTGAGCAGCAGTGGCACCATGGTGAGAAATGACAGAAAGAGACTGCAGGGAAGAGGGGAGACCGATACTGGGTGCCTGAGAGACAGGAAGGAGTGTAGAGCTGTCCATGGAGATACAGAAGAGAGGAAGAGGTGAAGATAAGAGATAAGCAGTTCTCAATTTTGGCAAGAGCCAGGGAGGGGGAGGGCAGAAGAGACTAATCTGGAAAGTGAGCTTTGGTGGAGTGGAAGTGAGAGAAGACAGCATACTCCAGTGCAAACACTGCCTCTGTGATAAAGGGGAAGGAGAGGAAGGGCTGGCTGGGAGAGGGGCAAAGCAGAAGCCAGATGGTGGCTTTGCAGTTAAAAGCCTGAGGACAAATGCAAGAGCTCTATGGAGCAAACCTGATGCACACTCTCATTTTAGCTTGCCTGTCCCTTTAAAGTCTGCTAAAATCAAGTAAGCCCCTAATAAAAGTAAGATCTTTTCATCTATAATTAAAACAGAGGTGAAGAAGAGCTACATCACATCATAAGATAATGCTATTCTGTGGGCCAGTTCTTCTGTTTGTTCTGGTCTCAGTAGATGGGCCAGCAGAGAGATCGAACAGCTCTGATGCGCTCCCTGTATAGTAGGCAGTCTTTTTCATAACCCACAGCAGGGAGGAGCAAACTCGAACAACAGCTTTAGTCATTGTTAAGTAGACTTTGACAATATCCATATTAGAATTAAACATTAAAGTGAAAGGAAAATAAAAATCTCTCAATGGCCTTAGAACTGGCCAAGGATTAAAAAAAATAATAGCCAAGGAGGGAATTTGTGTTTGGTTTGGATTTAAAGGCCACTGTATTTGGTGGGACTCTACAAGTGAAAGAGCCTGAGGTGTCTTCTGGCAGGTGAGAAAGGAATGTCCCCTCTGAGCAGGCAGCAGGATTTGGGGGTTCATTCCTATTATGCAATATATGCTGTCCTATTGGCACATGGCATGAAAATGGCAGCATAAATCAGCTGCTGCGTACAAAGTGCTGAAGGCACAAGACTTTCATTTCAGCTTCATTTTCTAAAGTCCTCCTTGACATTTAGATTCGCACTGCCATTCTGTTGATTTCCCCCAAGCAGGCGAGATGCTTCTCCTATGCAAAAAATCACATATACAAAAAAAATATCATTTTACAGTATTGCAAATACCCTAAAAAACTAGAAACTTTTATACATTTCTGTTATACAGATGCTTGATTGGAAACCCTGTGATATTTACAGGCAGGAAATCTCTCAAATTTCCATTGCAAGCTGGCAGCACTTCCTCCAAGAGGACAGCCAGCAAAACTAAATAAAGGGAACAAACTTCTTTATGAGATGTACATTTGGCCCGAAAATGCAGCAGCACCTGGTTAGTGTGAACAGAAAAAGTATTAGTTTGTGAGTCACTGATTTATTTCCAGCAGGTTTCCACGGCACTGGCCCTCTCTCCTCAGCAGCCTCTGCTTGTCTGGGAAGAGGCTTGCCCAGCTTTGTGCATCACCATGGGACTTTTACGGCTTATGACGACTCCTACTCTGGTAATGCCTGCATACAGGAGCTGCTCCAAGCAGTATTAGGAATGTACTTGCTCGGACTGAATGGCACGTGGCGTGATCCCTTTTTCCCCTTCATGCCATGTTCAAGCCACTCCAGTTGGAAGATGATCAAAGTCACATGTGACAGTTGGTCTGTGAGGAGCTGTTTGCTACACATTTGGTTCCATGACGACACCCGCTTGCAGCTTTTGCTGGTATTTTTGTCGGCGTTCGCAGCGGGGGCAGGACTTCACACGAGACTGGCAGCAACTATGGAAGACAGTTTTGCATTCTTTGCACCTGTGAGAAAAGAGAAAGCACAAAGCACATCAAAAATGTATTTTACACTTTGTGCAGAGAATAAAGAATCCCTCTATTGTGAAAGTCAAGCCATAGAATTACTTGTTTTATTTCTTGTTTACCTTCAGTACCAAGCCTCATTAATACTAAACTCTGGCAATAATTAAGACTTATTACACCAATTACCAACCTGTAGCATAAATATTAAAAACAGATGAACTCATGCTGTCAGCAGGCAGTATTTAATAATCAAATGGAGAGGGGTTACCTTCAGTAACTGCTACATGAGATCAGGAAAGCTCCAAAAGAGCTTTTTCCCACCCCATGAGCATCAGCTGCCCTCAATCAGCTACTGGAACATTATATAATTTTTCTAGATTAAAAAAAAAAAACCAAGATGTGAACACAAGGAAAGCAGCAGGATTTGCCCATAAATGTCAGAATAGAAAAAATGGTTCTTAAGAAGTGCAAGATCAAGTGAAAATGTGTAAATCTAAACAGCCAGAATCATGGATTGTGCGGGGCAATTTTAATTCTCTCATCACAACAGTAATATGCAAGACAGCAAGGTCCATTTTTAAATGCAAATCAGTACTAGCAAAGAGCGTGCAAACCAAGCAACTTCTGAACAAATTTCAACTGTGAAGACTCCACCTTTTCTTTCTGCAGCCAGGACCTACATCCCAGCTCTGCTTGTAGAACCAGCCTGACTTCTTGATCCACCAGAGTAGGAAGTGCTGCCAGGCAGCTCGAGACTTACTTTTTTCAGGAGGCACTGTTGACAAAGGAAATGATTGCAAGCACCCTAGAGATGGGCAGAAAGCAGATTCCAGGGCAGGATTTCTGTGATTAGTTTTGATTTTGGTGATGAGCAAAAGCAGCCCAGCTAGGTGGGGACAGCACAAAGCTCACAACACTCCCCACCAACCGTCCCTCAGCTGACTTAGAGCCTGAAGTGCATGAGGAACATAAACAGCAGCAAATTATACCTTGCTGTAAATCTCGAGCTGATTCTGTATGTGCCCGACGCATGACTCAAGTTCACATTCCAAAGAAAGCACAGTCCGCCCAGGTGCTCAGAGCAGCTGGGCACATCCAAAGGAAATGTCAAAAATACCCAGAGCAGTTGCAGTGATGTTAACCACTATGAAGGATATGAGAAGCCACAAAATTACAAGGTGCTATTCTAATCTGAAAAAAACAGGACCAAATTCTATTCGTTGTCATGGTGGTGTAAATTCAGAATCCTTCCCCACTGGCCTTCATGGTTTCGCTCTGTGGTACTACAGAATTAGATCTCTAGATATACTCAAATACACCAGGGGTGCTCAATCTCAGTCTCATGGAGCCATGGCATCAGACCCATGGGGATCCTTATGGGTCCAAAAATTTGGCAACTGGGAAGGGTGGAGGGCTTTGCGTCACCAGATCCAAACTCAAAAAGGTCATTGCCATGCACTGGGATAAGGGCTGGCACATCCAGATTGGGCCAGGTTGCTCCGTCCCCGCACACCCCACCCATCTGGATTGGGGCCGAACTGCTCCCTGCTCCCCTGTACACATCTAGATCAGGGCTGCTCTATCCTGCCCCCGCATGTCTGGATCAGAGTTGGGCCACTCCCCACCCTGGGTAGATGGATCAGAATTGGCCTGCGCCCCCCATGACGGCCCCACATATCAGATCCAGCCCACTGGTTGGACCTGGCCTGTGGCTGGACCTGGCACAACCTATTCGGCCTGCAGGGCGAAAGGTTGGGCACAACTGCACTAGACCAGTGATTCCCAAACTGTGGTATGGGTGCCACCAGTGGTATGCAGACAACCTGTCAGCGGTACGCTTTACCAGATTTATTATAATTGCTTTCTATGACAAAAATTTGCTGGTGGTACTTCATCATCCAAATTAGGAGGCCTGTGCGAATAGGGAAGTATTCAATTTGGTGGGCAAGATTCAATTCAGATCACTGTCCTGAATTGATTCAGCTTTGGAAGATTCCGCACCAATTTGGAGAGATTTAGTGATTTCGATCGGCCAGGGAGAGGCAGGCAGAGCTGGGCGGCCGCCGGTTCTCCCGGGGCTCCTCCAGCTGTGCCTGCCTCTACCCAGGAGGGGGGAGCCATGGGAGAAGTCCTCATGGCTGCCCTGCCCAGCCACATCCCCTGCTCGGCCCCAGCTTAGTCCCAGCACTTAAAGAAAAAAAAAAAAAAAAAAA